CTGACAGGCTTGGTTAAATTTATAGAAAAAGCTCCTTTGACATTACTATGAGAAGTAATAATATGTTCATTACGGCATTGCTGCTATTGAAAATAAAGTCATTATGGCATTGCATCGAGTGGTTCCATGATAAGAGCTTTATCTCAGATTAGATGGTATTGATTGATGCTTGTTAGTATAACATTGCTTCATATATGCATACAATTTACATAAAGAGGACATGGGAAAAATGAACAGAAAGACAAGAAGATTTTATTCCAAGTCAAAGAAAAGTTGCTACTTGTCAGGGACAAGACATGATTCTTAGGTAAACTTTAGCTTCCACAAATACAAACTCTGCAAATTGTGACACTCGATAATCACACGAAGGTTCACAGTATAAAACTCAGCACGCTAACAGTTGGTCTTAGGTATCAGACCGAATTCATCAAACTTTTGGGAAAAGTGTTGAAAAAGTCCTAAACTTTTTGCATTTGTACCAATTTAGTCCTAAACCTTTTTTTGGTGCCAATTCAGTCCTAAACATTTTATCTTTGTGTCAATTCAGTTCTTCCGATTAATTTTGGCCGGATTTTGCTGACGTGGATGCCATCTAGTTTACGTGGCACTGCCGGCAATGACGTGGATAACTTTTAATAATATTTTATTTTTTTTAATTTTCTAAATATTTTTTTTCTTTTTTTTTTCCTTTTCCTTTCTTCTTCCTCTAGCCAGTCGCCGGTCTAGGGACCGGCTGGAGGCCAGGGCCAGTGAGCTCGCTAGCCGCTGGCGAGGCTCGCCCGCGACCTCGCAGCCATTGGCAAAGGCTCGAGCCCTTGCCAGCAAGTGGGCGAGGCATGACCTCGGCGAATCTAGCGAGATTGGGCCTCGCCCATGGCCGACGGGGGTCAACCCTTGCCAAATCTCGCACTGGGCTAGCGAGGGTTGAACCCTACCGGCCATGGGTGAGGCCCGATCTCACCGGATCTAGTAAGGTCGTACATCGCCCAGCTGCTGGCAGAGGCCGCGAGGTCGAAGGTCGCGACCTCGCAACCACTGGCGAGGGCGAGGCTCGCCGTCGCTGTCGCTGGCACTTGCTAGCGATCGGCGGGGCTCACTGGCCCTGGCCTCTAGCAGGTCGCCGGATCGACGACCAGCTGGAGGAAGAAGAAAGGAAAAGAAAAAAAATAAAAATAAAAAAGAAAAGAAAAAATATTTAAAATATTCGAAAAATATAAAATATTATTAAAAGTTGCCCATGTCATCGCCGGCGGTGCCGTGTAAGCTGGCTGGCGTCCATGTCATTAAAATCCGATCAAAATTAACCGGAAGGACTAAATTGGCACAAAGACAAAAGGTTTAAGATTGAATTGTCACCAAAAAAAGATTTAGGACTAAATTGACACCAGCATAATAGGTTTATGACTTTTCTGATACTTTTCCCTCAAATTTTTATTTCTAGTCACCATTTTACTTGGTGCTTATTATTCAGAACATCATTTCATCGCCCATTAAGGTAACTACATTAGGGAATTCCCCTAATACAAAGCCATTGACCGATGAAGAGTGCGTCGCCATTGAGATTCGGGTTGAGCTGTTGGAGGGACCCCCTAGTCAAGCGGGCTGCATCTGTGACACTCAAGCAAGTCTCCCCACTCTTCACCCCATGCGCCCCATCACAGCGCGGGTCTGCCTGTTCCGCCTCTTCAAATGGCGCTGATCCTAGAAACTCATGAGGAAAAAGAAAGGCAAATGTCATTTGAAACTGCAGGAACAACACAATGCAGTTGGATCTGGCTCATACAACACAACAATAGAACGATATAGTTCAATGACATACGACCACTAAATTTGCTTCCGTCACTTCTGGGCATAGCAACTGTTAGGAGAAGGGAGATCAGCACGATTAATAGTAAGAAGATGACTGTTGTTGCTGCTTGTCTTAGCCATAGATGAGATAATGTTTTTACTTCTATGTCTTTGCTTGTGAGCTTGCTCTACGTTGATCAATACATGTCTTATATATAGTAGAGAGGGAAAATCGTAAAGTGCGCGAGCTTCGAGTGGCCGAATGATTTGGCTAAGGACATCAAGGAAACACCAAGCTAGGCCGGATCTTCAATACAGACGAACAGGCAGACTTAGAGAGATTGGCAACGTTTGCGTAAGATAGATGACGGATTGTGCTAGGGCAAAGCAAAGGAATCTTCGCTCCAGCAGAAAATACGTTTGACAAGATTGAAAATAGGTATGGAATTTTAGAGAAGAGTTTCGATGGAGTCATTTTCATATAGTGTTATGCAAAAGCAAAAAAATAGATTCCATCATAGATGTTGTGAAGAATCTTCAATTGGGTCGTTAGCATCGAGTCGTTTGTTTGGATTTGCACTTAAAAACACATTCGACTCACAATGAACAATGTAGAATTATCAACTTACTCTTTCGCTAGTATTTATTCGGAAAATTACCAACTAAAGTCCTAAATTTGTTGCACTTATACCAATTCAGCTCTAAACACTCTCATGTTTTTCCAATTGAGCCAATCCGATCAATTTTGGCCAAAAATTGCTAAATTGTATACCGGTCATACATCGGTCATCCTACGTGACACGGCTAGCGCTGACGTGTTGCCTTTTTTTATTTTTTGTAATTTGTTTGATTTTTTCTTTGCCTTTCTTTACCTTTTCTTTTTTAAGACTGAAGGCCACGGCATCATCACCTGACCAGATATGGCAAAGGCGTCGCAGCCTCGCCGAATCTAGGCGAGGGACTGCGCGCCCTCGGTTTGGCTAGCGAAGGCATTGTGGCCCTTGCCCAAGCCCTCCCTTGCCACAACAAGGGCCCACAAGCCCTTGCCTAGTGGCCGGTGAAGGTGTTGTAGGCCTTGCCTAGTGCCGTCAAGGGTCGCCAGCCCACAGTCCGAACAAGAAAAAGAGTAAAGAAAAAAAAAAGAAATAACCAAAAAAATTATTTAAAAATTCAAAAATTTGTAAAAAAATGTCAGCGCCAGCATTGACCATACCATGTAAGATCACTAGCATGTACGATCGTTAACGTCTATGTCTGTAATTCCCAGCCTAAATTGGCCGGATAAATTCAATTAGCAAAACGTGAAAAAGTTTAGAACTAAATATGTACAATTGAAAGATTTATGACTGAATTGGCATAAGTGCAACAGATTTATGACTTTTTTGGGAAAAGTGTCAGAAAAGTTCTAAACCTATTGCATTGTACTAATTTAGTCCTAAACCTTTTTTGGGTGCCAATTTAGTCCTAAACATTTTGAACTAGTGCTAATTCAGTCATTTTGGCTAATTTTAGCCTAATTTTGCTTACGTGGATGCCGGTCGGCCTATGTGGCACCGCCGGTGCTAAAGTGAACAATTTTTAATAATATGTTTTTTTTATTTTTTAAGTATTTTCTGATTTTTTTTCTTTTTTTCTTTCTTCCTCTCTTTGCCGGTGATAGGCCACAGGCAATGGCCAACAACCGGCCATGGCCTGGCTTGGCCTGGGCAAGCCTCGACGAAGGCTCCCCTTGCTAGATCCGGCAAGGCCGCCTTGGCCTGCGCGAGGGTCGGCCTCGCCAGATTTGGCCTGCGCAAGGGCGAGCCCCAGCAAGGGCTCGAGCGAGCCTCGCGCTGGCCTGCGAGGCTCAACCCTTGCCCAGCACTGGCAAGGCAGCCTCGCCAGTGGCCGGCGGGGCTCGCCAAAGTCCCCCTAGCCTCCAGCGGGTCGCCGGAGCGGCGACCGGCTGGAGGAAAAAAAAGAAAAACAATATTAAATTGAAAAATATAAAAATATTATTAAAGGTTGTCCACGTCATCGCCGAGGGTGCCACATAGGTTAGCCGGCATCCACGTCAGCAAAATCGGGCTAAAATTAGCCGGAAGGACTACATTGGCACAAAGACAAAAGATATAGGACTGAGTTGGTATAAAAAAAATTTAGGACTAAATTGGCACAAATGCAAAAAATTTAAGACTTTTTTAACACTTTTCTCTAAGTTTTTCAGTAATTATCCTAGTTTTATCACAATGGAGGTCATATTTATCTACTATGTTTTTTCTCCATTAAGTGACCAGTTAGTTTTTGTTTACGTACTATGGTTTAAGTTGTTTATCAATGTTTAGTTTTGGTTTACCAACTCTTGTTTTAGTTGTTTATCAATGTTTCTTTTGTTCTTTTTTATTCACCAACCATTTTATTTGAATTATTGGCTTTTTTGTTTTTACTTACCAAATCATTAAATTTACCAACTACTTTTAGGAATTACCAACCTCAATTAAAGCAATTTCCAACATTTCTCTAATTAAATTATTCAGCTAGCTTTGTGTTATTAACTCTCATTTGGCCTAGTTAACGATATTGATTTGGTTTTTTTTTTAATTAATAGCATCTCTTATCTCTGATAAACAAAAACTTTATATCCTCAATTAAAAATTTTTATTTACCTTTCCAACCAGTTTTTCACCTTTAGCAACCCTCATATGAAATTACCAACCTTTATTGAATGACATACGAACTTTCTTCCGATCAAATTACCAAGTCTCATTTGAGTTGTAAGTTATTACAATCTCTAAAAAGAGTTAATACATGTAAAGGGTTGCCAAACCAAGATAAATAAAAGTTTGTCAATTAACAAACCATTCAAGATAGGTGAATTACTCAAATGAGAATTGGCACCCAAAATCAGTTGGTAACTTAAGATAACAAAGGTTGATAAGTTACTCTAGTATAGGTTGGCAATTTCATGTAAGAGTTAGTAGACTTTAAACATTAGTATGCTATGCAAAAGTTATTACAAAAACTAAAAATTTGCAAACTATAAGAAAAAGGTCGATAATTTCAGGAAAATGTCGGTAAATAAACATATTGGTAAGTTGCTTGGAGAAAAAGAAAGTCACCGGTCTTTTTATTTTTCTTGCCAATATATTTTTTCACATTTAAACACTTACTAAAATATACCAGTACGGAAAAAATTCATTTTTTTGCGCAGAACAACAGAATTATGTGAAGACTTAACGAGAAATTGATATTATTATTTTTTTCCTTTTTTGATAGACAAATATGGCATCGTCGTCACAAAAAGTAGCGAGAAACCAGCTAGACCTCGAACTATTCGTCCTAGATTTCGTCATATGAACATTTTGAGCTTTATTTCAACACAACACTACACTTGCAAAATGGCAAAACCTGCGGACGATCCTACTCTTTTACTAATCTCCTGGTCTGTTCAGCGACCTCTGAGCCGAGGTTCGAGATCTCCACGGCATGATCCAAAAGCCGACATCTTTCAAGCCAGCATCAACTCAAACTCCTCACCAAACCACTCGCCGCGTTCAACGGTCGTAACCGAGGGGCCTGAGGCAGTCCAACTCAATCTCAGTTGGGGCAACGACGCATGCCCCGTTATCAGTTAGGACCCCAGCAGCTCAAATACATGATGGTCCTGAGAGGCTCTTCGGCTTGCCGGCACCATCTCCCATTGCCCTTGCCAATGCCATCTTTGAGAGCCATCGAACCGTCGCCAGCTCCACTTGAGAAAAGCCGCCTCGATCTCTCCAGACCAGAAGAAGAAGAGCAATAACCTCCCGGACACTTGATCGCGGAATCACACGACTTCGATCCTTGGTCTTTCATCGTGTCTGCGATCCCTCTCGCTATGTATATGTGAGTCAAACTGCACTCGAGAACCAGTTGACTTGACATAGAAGTTGTGAATTGTGAGAGCTTGTTTATATAGATCGGAGACACCCCGTGTTTTTGTGCGAAACAGTGGATCATATGGTGGGACGAGGAAGTGGAAACAATTGCCTGTGATGGCTACTTCCGGATAAGGCCAACTTGGGTTTCCTACGTTGGCAAAAAAAGTTTCGCACGTCTTTGGTGATAAGCTTTCCAACGTGTCTAGGAAAGGATAAGATATCATATCTTCAGGATGCTTTATAGTAATATAATTGACAGAATCTTTCAATTAAATCAACGTAAAAGAATCAAAGAAATAAATGAGCAATAATAATTTGTTGCTGATAATAGATTTGAAACAGAAATCTATTTGGTAAAATAATTTTATTTTTCTATTTCTGAAAGAAATTTTTAATCCAAAAATAGATTTGGAACAGAAATAAGAAATTAAAATTTTCCATTTTTCTATATCTAAAACAGAAACAGAAATAACAACTCTCTTTTATTGCTCGCCCTCGCTGCCCACCACCATCCACCCACCGCAACCCACTGGCCGTCCCTTGCCACCTGCCGCCATCGATCGTCCCCCCTCACCGCTCGCTCATCACCGCTCGTCCGCCGCTCGCCGGTTGTCCATCGCCGCTGCCGCTCGTCGGCCGCCCGACACTGACTGCCCGCCATCCACCTCTACCCCTCGCCGACTGTCCGACGATGCCCGCCCGCCATCCAACTCTGGATGCCAGCCCCGTCTGCTACCCGCTAGGAACAAAAATTTAAGAATAACCTATCAAACGAATTTCCTTTCCGGAAAGAGAAGTTTTTTTATCATTATCAAACTCTACTTTTTACTCAGAAACTTGTCTAAGAAATATTTTTCTATTTCTAATCAGAAATAGGGCCGAAGAAGAAAAATTTATCATTTGCGCCCTAAAAGACTCCAGAAATTTTACGTGATTCGGTCCAAGTATCAGTAGATACTCCACATGGTGTGCCAGTAGCAAATAATCCACTAATAGTTGAAGAACCGGGGTCACAATCGCTCAAACGCTCGAATATTTTCCACATCTAAATTAGGCCTAAATTCACAGTATATTAGACGTAAAGTTGAAAGTACAAATCATTGTATACGACTAAAATCAAGCACTCACGGTTCGGCCGAAAAAAAGAGAAAATCCACTACTCTGAACGTTTGGCCCTTCTTTCGTCCTCCTGTGGCTTTCTATAAAGAGCTTCTTTTTCTGGTTCGTGGAATAAAGACCTTTATGCAGCCTCGATACATGTTTATAAGAAGACGTCCACTGCACGCTTTCTGAAAATTCCATCCATGTCCAGTCAAACTTAGATATTTTCCTCTTCACGTGAATTTGTGAGTCCTTCGAGATAAGAATTCTAATCCAAAATAGGAAAATAGGAAAGTGATTCATTAGCATTTAAATTTTCCTTTCTAACATATTCGGTTTAACAAGCCAATCTCATTTTTCAATCAAGTCAAGTGTCTCATATATAGGCTCAAACTCAAAACATAATTTAATAGATCAAGGGAAGATAATTAAAATAGCTTGAACATTGTGGTTATACATTGCTCTCAATGTGTGGGTTGAAAATTTTAATTTTTTATTTAAATTTTTGTCTAAGTCTAGATACGTGTGGGAGACGAGATGTGTCGCGTGTGACAAAAGCTCGAAGGGAGAGTATGGAGGCCCGGCATTGTCAAAGGGACTATATATTGTTAATGCCAAAAAATAACCAAGCCTTTGCAATCAATATGATGTCGATTTAAGTGAATATAGAGCCCAGTGATAACAGATATGGCTATCGATGAGTTACCGATAATGAGGCACTTATCGATGACCATATACAATAATTATCGATGACCATGAGATACAACTATCGATGTATGATGGTGCATGGTCGATGAGCATATCGACGAAATGGAAAAAAGAATACATGGCTAATGTCATAGCAAATTGGGTCCAAGTGTTGGATGCAAAGAAATAAAGAAAGGGAGGATGCTGTGGAAGATGAAGATATCAATGGACAGTTGAGCTTTGTAGCACACAAGGAATTGTAGCCGCTTGTGGATAAGGTCGACATGTGATCATGGGGCCTAAATTTGCGGAGATACAGTTGTAACCGTCGTTAAAATATTATCTCCTTACAAGCAATTACGTTGTGTAGACTATAAAAGTTAACGTGTGTGAAAAGGAACGATCATCAACACAAACCTATGTACCTTTTTCAGTTTCAGTTTATCAATATATTTTGAATTTCATATAACACAACAATAGAACGATATAGTTCAGTGACTTACGAACGCTGAGTTTGCTTCCGTCGCTTCTGGCCACAGCAACTGTTAGGAGAATGGAGAACGCCGCGATCATTAGTAAGAAGCTGACTGCGTTGTTGCTGCTGGTCTTAGCCACAGATGAGCTAATGTCTTTTCTTCTGTCTTTGTTGTGAGGTTGCTCTACGTTGATCCATACATGTCTTACATATAGAGAGGGAAAAACGTAAAGCGCACGAGCTTCGAGTGGCTGAATGATTTGGCCAAGAACATCAAGGAAACACCAAGCTAGGCCGGCTCTTCAATACAGAGGAACATGCGACTTTAGAGAGATTGGCAATGTTTGTATAAGATATATGACGGATTGTGCTAGGGCAAAGCAATAGGAATCTTCGTTCTGGCAGAAAACCCGTTTGACAAAATTGAAAACTAGGTATGGAATCTTAGAGATGAGTTTTCAATGGCGGCATTTTGATGTTGTGTAATGGAAAAGCAACTAAAAATAGATTCCATCATAGATCTTGCGAAGAATCTTCAATTGGGTCGTTAGCATCGAGTCGCTTGTTCGGATATGCACATAAAAACTCATTCGACTCACGATGAACAATGTAGAATGATGAACTCACTCTTTTACTAGTATTTATCACAAAGGAGGTTGTGTTTATTTATTATCAGTTTTTCTCCTATTAAGGATGCGTTTGGCAACCATTCTGTTCCTGAAAACTAATTCTGCTCAGAAATGATTTTTTTTATTCCATGCCCAAAACAATTTCTAAGCATTTGAAATTTTTTTCCATTTCTGATTATTGTTCCTAGAATCAAACAAATTTTTACAATTTTGTGCCAGGGAATAAAAAATTTACCAAACGGATTTCTATTCCAAAACTAATTCTGGGAACAAAAGAATAGAAATTGTTACTGTTTGGCAAATTGCCAGACGCGTCCTAAGTGACGGGTTCGCTGTGGTGTACCAACTCTATCTTGAGTTGTTTATCAATGTTTCTTTTTGTTCTTTTTTATTCACCAACCATTTTATATGAATTATTGGCTTTAATAACCTTACTTACCAAACCATTAGATTTACCAACTACTTTTAGGAATTACCGATCTTAATTAAAGCAATTACCAACATTTCTCTGATTAAGTTACAGACCAATTTTGTGTTACTAACTCTCATTTGAGGTAGTTACATATATTGATTTGGTTTTTTTTTTAGTAACAGCATCTCTTATGTATGACAAACAAAAACTTCCACTAAAAACTTTTTATTTACCTTTCCAACCAATGTCTTAAATTTAGTAACCATCATATGAAATTGCTAACCTTTATTGAATGACCTAACAACTTTCTTCCGATTAAGTTATCAACTCTCATTTGAGTTGTAAGGGGTTGCAGGGTTGCTAAACCAATATAAATAAAGTTTGTAAATTAACAAACAATTCAAGAAAGGTGGATAACTAAAATGAGAGTTGGTGCCCAAAATTAGTTGGTAATTTAATCTAACAAAGGTTGATAAGTTAAGTTACTCTAGTATAGGTTGGAAATTTGAAACATTATTAGTATGTTGTGCGGACAAAAGTTATCAAGTTATTACAAATATTCATTATTTGCAAACTATAAGAAAAAGGTTGATAATTTCATGAAAAATTTGGTAAATAGACATATTGATAAGTTACTTGGAAAAAAAAAGTCACCGGTATGTTTTTTTTACAAAAGATTTTTTCACATTTAAACAATTGCTAAAATATACCGGTACAGAAAAAATTCATTTTTTTGTACAGAACAGAAGAATTATGATATTGTTATTTTTGCCCTGTTTGGTAGATGAATATGGCATCGTCGTCATAAACGTGGCGACAAACCAGCTAGACCTCGAACTATTCGTCCTAGATTTGGTCATGTAATACAGAACAAAAAATTTTGAGCTTTATTTCAACACACAGCCCAACACTTGCAAAATGGCAAAACCTGCGGACGATCCTACTCATTGACAACTCTATCTGTGAATTAAGCAACCTCAAAGCCGAGGTTCGATCTCCAGGACATGATCCAAAAGCTGACGTCTTTCAGGGCAGCATCGACTCAACCTCCTCGCCCAAACGGCTCGCCGCGCTCGACGGTCGTAACCGAGGGGCCTAAGGCAGCGCTCCAACTCCATCTCAGCTTGCGCGAAGACGCACGCCCCGGTTATCAGTTAGGACCCCAGCAGCTCAAGTAAATGACGGTTCTGAGAGACTCTTCGGCTTGCCTCCACCATCTCTCGTTGCCCTTGCCAATGCCATCTTTGAGAGCCATCGAGCCGTCGCCAGCTCCGCCCGAGAAGAGCCGCCTCAATCTCTCCGAACCGGAAGAAGAAGAGCAATAACCTCCCGGACCCTTGATCGCGGGATCGCACGACTTCGATCCTCGGTCTGTCATCGCGTCTCCGATCCCTCTCCCTATGCATATGCGAGTAAAAACACCACTCCAGAACCAGATGACTTCACATTGAAGCCGTGAGCTGCGCGAGCTTGTTCATATAGATCGGTGGCACCCCAGGTTTTGCTGCAAAACAGGGGATGGAATGAGGGGAAACAATTGGCTGCGATAGCTACTTCGGGATAAGGATAGACAGGGGTGTCCCACGTTGCCAGAAAGGATTAAATATCATTCTTCTTTTGTTGAAGGGAAGGATTAGGTATCAATATCATATTCATGGGGATCTATGCTGCTAATAATATAATTAGAGGCACAAATTATGTAGCATAAGTTAGGGAGAGAAGAGATGATGTGATCATAGAAAGGAGAGGAGATTGACTAAATTTATTAGCAAGTACAAAGAAGCCAGCATGAACATCATGGTTATGCATTTGCTATTTTAACTCTTTTGATCTTTATTTAAATTTTTCACTAATACCCCTTATAGCAAATTATGTAAAAAAAAATTATGATTTCCCAATACTCTCTCTTCATATAAGTTTAACAACTACCCACCATAAGTACTCAATTAAATAAACTCAATTATTTTCAAAAAGAAAAGTTTTCTTTCTCTTTGTATGTATTTTGTTGATAATCATGCACAGGCATAGCCTGGGCCTCAACGCTAGACGGATCCGTGGACAAATATTTTTCTATCTAACATTGCCAAAGGGGCAATTCTAAATTTGGTTGTCTCATTAACATTATTGTACGGTTTGATAGCCCAACTCATTCTTATTGCGATCTAGGGGCTGGACAGATATTTTCTATCTAACAATGCTAGAGGGGCAATTTCAAGTCTAGTTATCTAATTAACATTATCGTACGATTTGATAGTCTAACTTGTCCTTGTCGCAACGCTCCATAGGCAAGACAGATATTTTCTATCTAACATTGCCAGAGGGGCAATTCCAAGTCTGGTTATCTAATTAACATTATCGTACAATTTGATAGTCTAACTTGTCCTTGTCGCAACCCTCCAGAGGCAGATCCCAAAGGAGCTAACAGATTGCTGGCAGGGGGATATAGATGGCGCTTATGTTTCGCACGAGCTCTCATAAACTCTATCGTTTGCAACTTGATTTCTCAAATCTTATTAGGACCTAGACTCGATTGGCAATGTCCTAAATGAACAACCAAGGACTCAAGTTTGGCCTTCGTGGACTTGAGTCTGGACAAGGGAATGGTCGATAGCTATGACAGAAACCAAATTAAATTCCAAAATATGATTTTTCTAATTTTAAAAGTGTAAATCAGATTTTCAATCTTTCAAATTCATGCTCCAATGTAAATGTTTTTTATAACTGATTTTCCCAGCCAATAGCCGATTGGAAGCAATTTAAGTTTTTGACATAATAGTAAAGGCTATCTAAAGATTAGGGGTGAGCATCGAGAAAAATTCAACCGGACAACTGGAATGTACTGACCTGGACCAACTGGTTTAATGTCGATTCTAACGAGAATCGGTTTGATTCTCAGTTTCGTGCATCTAGAAACTGGTCTTAGATCAATTCAGTTCTCAATTCGAAGGCTAGGAACCGATTCAACCAGTCCACCTCTCAAGTTGAACCGGTCCACCGCTCAAGTTGAACTGTATCTAAGAGACTCTTTAATAAAAAAATTTCAACCAATCAAAAATTGAAACATAACAACATAATTACTTAACCAACAAATGTTTTTGTAGTGAAACGCTACAACTTCTATATTTTATTTATAAAAACTTGATTTTTCACCCAAGATATGAAATGGGCCTATTCTTGTGTAAAATTGCAAACTAGACTAGAATCGGCCCGTTTAAAAAAGGGTTAATACCACGAAAAACCCTAAACTGGTATACTTGTGACAATTTTATCCCAAACTATTTTTTTGACCATAAAAAACCCCAAACTGGTACACTTGTGACAAATCTACCCTGAACTATTTTTTTTTACCATAAAAAATTCCAAACTGGTATACATGTGACAATTTTACCCCGAACTAATTTTTTAATATTATTTTTTATTTTTCGAATTTTTTTATTAATTTTTTTTATTTTTTCTTTACTTTTTTTTTCCTTTCTCTTCAACCTCTGGCCGGTCCGGTCCGGCTACCGACTAGAGGCGGAAGCCGGCGAGGTCAGCCCCGCCGGCCGCTGGCGAGGCTCACCCTCGCCGGCGTTGGGCGAGGTCGACCTTGCCTTGCAACGGCCAGGTCGAGCCTCGCCGGATCTGGCGAGGGCCCGGCCCCGCCGGATCTGGCGAGGCTCGCCCAACGCCGGCGAGGGTGAGCCTCGCCAGCGGCCGGCGGGGCTGAGCCCTCGCCAGATCCGGCGAGGCTCAACTTGGCCGTTGCAGGGCGAGGCCAACCTTGCCGGCATTGGGCGAGGTCGACCTCGCCGGCGTTGGGCGAGGTCGGCCTCGCCCTGCAGCGGTGGGGCCGAGCCCTCGCCAGATTTGGCAAGGCTCGACCTCGCCGTTGCAGGGCGAGGCCGACCTCGCCCAACGCCAGCGAGGCTGACCTAGCCCTGCAACGGCGGGGCGGAGCCCTCGCTAGATCTAGCAAGGTCGACCTCGCCCTGCAACGGCGAGGCCGACCTCGCCCAACGCCGACGAGGTCGAGCCTCGCCAATGGCTGGCGGGGCCGACCTCGCCGGCTTCCGCCTCTGGCCGGTCGCCGGTCCGGCGACCGGCCAGAGGTTGAAGAGAAAGGAAAAAAAAAGTAAAGAAAAAATAAAAAATAAATAAAAAAATTCGAAAAATAAAAAATAATATTAAAAAATTAGTTCGGGGTAAAATTGTCACATGTATACTAGTTTGGGGTTTTTGGTGGTCAAAAAAATAGTTCGGGGTAGATTTGTCACAAGTGTACCAGTTTAGGGTTTTTCGTGGTATTAACCCTTTAAAAAATGGGTTAATGTTACGAAAAACTCCAAATTGGTATATTTGCGATAAATTTACCCAAATTAATTTTATGACCATCAAAAACCCCAAACTTGTACATTTGTGATAAATTTACCCTCCGTTAAATTGAATTAATACCGTAAAAAATTACAAACTAGTATATCTGTGTTAAAAGCTCAAATTAGTACATCCATCAATTACTACATGTTATCCAACTTAGAAATTTAACAGAAAATTGAACCGAAATTAACGGAGAGTAAAGTTGTCATAGGTATACCAGTTTGGAATTTTTTGTGGTCAAAAAATTAGTTTGAGGTAAAACTGTCACAAGTGTACCAATTTAGATTTTTCATGGTATTAACCCTTAAAAAGTCAACCAATTTGGTCTCAGTTCCAAAAGATTGGAACCGCGGCTCACAAGGCCAGTTCTTACCTATAGGCCGGAAACCATCTCACTTTGAAACGAATCACTCCCGCTAAAGATCGTTGTCTCGAGAGAACAATATTCTAGTTTTTTTTTTTTTGTCTTTTTGGTGAGGAAAAAAAAAGGAGAGCGTATCAATTCGAATCAAACCCGCGATGTACCGTTGCGTGGCCTTGAACCGAACCTACCTAGGCCCACCCATTCACGCCTCGCCGCCGTCAGCCGCCGCGGCGACGCCTCCCTCTCCCAAGCTCCGCCGCCGCCGAGAGAGTCGGAACCACTACCCGCCGCGCCTCTCTCTCTCTCTCCGCCATGGCCGTCTTCCTCCCCTCCGCCTCCCGCATCTCCACCGTCCGTTTCAATCTCCCTCCTCGCTCCCCTGCCCATGTCCGCAGACGACTGCTCCCGTTCGGGTGCCTCGGCTCGAGCCTCCCGTTCCCGGCCCACGACGCCAAGTATCACCGGGAGCTCGAGGCCGCCATTGACGTTGTGGAGCGAGCTTGCCGTCTCTGTGTTGACGTACAGTTCTTGTTCTTGTTCTTGTTCTTGTTCTTGTTCTTGTTGGGTAAATGCTTGTTGGGTATGATTCGTTTGCTTGTGTGTTGATAGTTATGTTCATTGTCAGGTGAAGAAAGCCTTGCTTTCGAGTGATGGTGGGATTCTCGAGAAGACCGACCAGACTCCCGTCACTGTTGCGGACTTCGGCGTGCAAGCTCTTGTCAGTTTGGGTAATTTTCTTGCGTGATTACATGAAGCTTCATGTTTCCTTTCGTTGCTCAATTCATGAAGTCTGTAGTTTAAAAATGCAAAATTGGGTCGATGGTTTTCGAGCATTTAGGCTTCGATTAGTTTTGGACATTTGATCAATGCGCGAACTGAGCTTGGGGCATGATTTATCAGACAATGCCACAGTAGCGCATAGGTGAATTCACCGTTAAGAACCTCGACTCACATGACTATGGATGGCATTTTCTGGGGTCGGTAATTCGATATGCTTATAATTTGAAAGTGGCATAGGCTTGTCAATGGAGAAGATAAAATCAGCCAATATCCTATTCAATATCTCAGGCACGGCATGCAACTACTTGAAAATTGTAGTTAGACCAAATTTAAATGTGAACTGCTATTTTGGGAGTTGATATCGCTTCTCGGTTTTTTTGCATGTTTCGCCAGAGCTGGGAAACTTGTTTCCTTCCATTCCTTTAGTGGCAGAAGAGGACTCTGCTTCCATACGTTCTACTGATTTGGTGGGTTACATTGTGGATGCTGTCACCGATAAAGCGAGCTCTGAAGATCATCCTTTGACAACGAATGCTGTTTTAGAGGCTATTGACCGAGGAGGAGAGAATGAATTTTCTATTGGAGCGCAGCCAGCCTCGTATTGGGTATGTAGATGAATTGGCTATTATTTAAAGGATGTAAGCTAAGGTTTGGCATAATATGTAGTATAAAGAGCAGCATTTACTTGATGTTAGATTGTGTATTCTTTGAGATTGTACCCGTATAGAATCCAACATCAAATCGAATGGTTAGGAAATGATTATATAGGGCTTAAAAAAACCGTCCTCCTAGTCCACGGCTTGGTAAAATAAAAAGAAAATAAACGTGCCTCTCAAAAGATTTGCTTCCTGAAGTTGATAAATTGCATATCTGTCCACATTTATTACGATAAGTTGCTTGGCTTTAGTTGCTAGATATGTGGCGTCTTCTAGATTCTCTTCCATAGTAGAGCTTAAGGTTACAATGATTGCTGCAGGTTCTGGATCCAATTGATGGGACACGAGGATTTCTAAAAGGAAGTGAGTCCTTGTATGTGGTATGTTACTCTCTCTGAAGTCTTGGCTATTAGATTTAATGGGGAATAGCTCCAGATTGATGACTGCTAAGAATGAAAATATTAAGTTGCTTTTGACATGCATACCGGTATGTTAAGCATGTAAAGGTTAGTTTGATAACAAAACGTTCAGTGCAGTCCAATGCTTGGCTTCTGCCAATACAAAAGATGAAGTCTGAATTCGAGCTGGTTGAGAAAGGATGTGGGAGGAACTTCTTTTTAAGTTGGTTTCAATGTCTGAAGTGTTCACTAAGACACCTAATACCATTTTGTTTATAATGTCCCTATCATGGTTTAGTTTTATGATACTAATCCTCTATTGCCTTATTACTCCAATTAGTGTATGCCCTGAACATCCTATAACATGCCTGTCTCAGCCCATGAGCAGGTGATCATGGTCACTCTTCTAGTTGTAGGTAGCAGTAATGTATAGTGTAAATTTTAATTACCTTCTTTTGGGGAAAGATACTTTCACTTGCTGCATTACACATGAGACACTTGGTGCCTTGGGCCTCCTCTCTTTGACCTCTCTTCTGTGAAAGAATTTTTACATTACACTGTGGATGCTGATAGACCCCTATACCCCTATATATCAATATAAAGGAGTCTAGTCCGCTGGTTTTATTTGTTTGATATTGGGAAGCAGTTACTTTTATCGGAATATACTTTGTTGCTCGTATTATTATATGGAAATATAATTTTGGAACTCTATATAAGTTCTTAGCTTTCTTTTTCTTGGCTGAATGCACAAATAAATTTCCAGGTAGGATTGGCACTTGTAGTTGGTGGGGAAGTTGTATTAGGTGCAATGGGATGCCCTAATTGGCAGCAAGATCTATCCAATGTAACCAACGATAGGCTACAGGAGTATGAGATCAGCAATGCCAGACCTGGAATCATCATGGTGTCTCACGTTGGCTGTGGAACATGGACCAAAAGGTTACCACCGCTGCTCAGTAACACGAGTGCAAAGGAAGCCTATTGGACGAGGTGCTTTGTTGATGGGTTGTCTGCAGTTCATGAAGCACGTTTTTGCATTCCAGAGAGTCAAACATGGGAGAAACTTCCCCTGTCTACTTCATTCAAAGCAACAAAGGAAACTGATACTCCTAGAGAAGGGGAAGTTGTTCTACTGCCAACATGTTGTGGAAGGTTAATTAACCTTTTCCTTATTCAACATCTTCTCGTTTTTGGGTATATTTTGTTTTACGACTCTAGCTCTGGGGGTTGGTGCAAAAGCTCCTCTGGAGTTTTCAAATTTGTTCTTTGCCGTCCCCGAAATTCTGAAACTGTTGCAATCTGTTCTACTGACTAGTGTTTTGCTTACAATTCCCATCACATCCTAAGGAAATCTTATCCAATCGATTTTTTCTTTCTGTCTAATATTTATTTGGCTTGGATAGAAGGATCAAAGGCCCTTAATATTGCAATAGTTGTAACATGAATTATATTCACAAATTATGTGATACCCAATGTCGTTAAAAATGTCATTTTTACAAGTCGTATCTATCAATTGGCATGTGCAAAGCTTTCAAATGAATCGATGGCTTATCATTATTAACTTCATTTGTCACCTGATGACCCGTTGTGTGGCTATTATATCTCCCATCACTATTGTTCGCAATCACAATCTTTTCTTAATGTGTGTTGTACTTCTCAGCTGGATGAAACTGATTAACATTTTACTTCTAACAAATGGAAAAACAGGACTAAGATTAAATTATCATTTATCTCGTGATTAAGTTCTTATGTCAAACATGAACAATGTTTAAAGAAATAGTGCCCTCTGTTACTTTCTATTATCTAATCTTGGAATAATATAAAAATAAATCAGATGATGAGATGACATTACAATTTTCAACGTTTACTGTGTTGTTTCCTCTGGCTATTAGATCTATCATTTCCATGAGCAAACACATTTAAAATTGTACACATGATTGAATACAGATAGTTCACGGAGATTATCTCGTAAGGCAATAAGTTTCCTGCATTTCTTCAATTTGGAGATAAGTCACTTCTGCCAGTTTGTTTCATGCATTTATTGTCACATCGTGGTAAAGGAGATGCTTATTCTCCTTCTTTCCTGCAAGAGCCTTTGCACTGACTTCCTTGCACAAAGATGCATTCTCTGTCTCGTAGTAACTCTCTCTCTCTTATCACAGTTTTCTCTTCTTTCTGTGTATCAGTATATATTATCAGCATTCACCGATCCCTTTTAGTGGGACCAATGACTCCTTGCAGTAGAAGTGACGGTATTTTCCTTTTTGGTTTCTCACAGTTTATGCAAGTATATGATGGTTGCTTCAGGAAGGGCATCTGTTTTCATTCTTCGAGAAAGAACACGAACCTCAAGCAAGGTATTTTCTGAGTTTCTCCTACAAATTTCTTGTTATCCAGGCTGGTGGACAATTAAGGGAACATGTCTAAATTTTTTATTCAAATGTCGTTAGGCTTGGGACCATGCTGTCGGCATGATATGCGTGCATGAAGCTGGAGGAAAGGTACATATACATGTGACTGTAGAATTTCACCTTCAGTTGCGAAGTTTGAGTTTCCTTCTGCATGATTCTCATATTTCGGGACTTCTCTTGTTATTAAATGCAGTTTGTTGGTTTTCTTTTGTGTATGTCAAATGAGATCAGCTGGTATTTTTTAGGCTCTTTACCTGATTACTACCTCTAGAAAAACGTGAGAAGAAAGAATGATGACAATGTGAATTACGTATGCACAATAGACAAATAGTAATAACGAGAAGAATCTAAGTTATGACTTCTGTATCAAAGTCATGTTTCTCATTGCCCCATTTAATTATTCATTTCTCGGATAGATTCTTGTTTATGTTATTCAGCTCGATTTGTGTTCTTTACATGGCTTAATCCCAATCTACTCGTAAGAAGGGGTATTAATATTTCATATCACTTGAGTACTAGGTTTACTGTGGCTTTATAGGTAGTCCTAATAGTTTAAGTTTTGGGGTTGTACTTTCTATAATATACTTACCAATTGAAGCTTCTTTTTTCTTTGGTTGATTCAGTATTTGATTTATGAATTTCGTCTACGTAATTTGAACAGCTTCTAGATCTGCAATGTTTGCAATGTGCCACACATCTTTTTCCTTGTACATTTTAAAGTCTGTTAAAGAACTCTTTTGTAAAAAACCAAGGAACGCAGTGTACTTTCGAATTCATCCTGTCTCTCAAATTTCATTTTGATTTTGCTAGCTTTTCCCTTATGCTATCTGTAACGTTATCTCTGATACTTGACTTGCCTTACCAAGAAAGGACACCTTTTCAACTTTATGAGAAAATCCAATTCAGACATGTGTATATCTTAAAAACGTAATCTTTTTTAGTGTGCTCCTAAAGGTTCGGGTTTATGTGTTACCTGACTGACTGACCACCATCAATTAGGTGACCGATTGGGAAGGAAGTCAAATTGATCTGGCAGCAGATGCCACTGAACGGAGAATCGTATTCCCTAAAGGTGGCATTATTGTGTCTAACGGAAAATTGCACAAGAAGATTTTGGACATGACTTCTTCTGGTTCCTCGTCTCTTTTATAGGATGCTAAAGATTTTGGTGCGTCCACCCTCTCTCTCTCTCTCTCTCTCTCTCTCTCTCTCTCTCTCTCTCTCTCTCTCTCTCTGTGGGCCGGCGCTCTTGTGGGACATTTTGTTAGCTCGCCTTTTTAGTTCAATCACAGGATTTCGCGATTGCAAGTACGTGATGGCTTATCCTGCATATGGTGGTAGCTTACTAGCCAAAGAGTTTTGAATCAGTTTGGAATATCAGCTCAGTGATATCTCCACCAGTAAGTAGACAATTAATCAGTAATAATTGCTCACATCAACTGACATTTTCTTGTGGTTCTGGCTATGCAGAAAAGCAATTAAAAACCATTGCACATTTGTTCTATTGAATGTAGTACGTACGCTACTTGTCAAAAGCTGCTATTGAAGCTTCAAGCAAGTGCTCTTTTGAAGTTCCTATCTTTGGTAAAAGCTTCTGGTGAGTATCCGTTTCTTGCAGAGTTCAGACGGGTGATCTTTTAGATTTTTTGTATGTAGTGACTCTGGCATTATGTTAATTGCCTTTTAAATTCAATACCATTCTCTTTCTTGTGACAGCTAAACGATTTTTGTTGTCCAGAACGTTTGCAGAAAAGAGGGTGCACAAGGGCTTTCAAGGAAGTCCAAAGAACCATCTGTGCGATAAGATAACTCGAGAAGTCGCAGTTACATGCATTAATCACAAGCTGTGTTGATCATCCTTCGGTCCTGCTCACACATCGACCGTGTAAGATAGATGAAATTAGGGTACATTCCCTAGGCACGAACAACTCGATTATCTGTACTTTACTTCAGTGAAAATTAGGTAGAGAGAGAAACTCTGCAGTAATTTCTGTCCTAAAACTCTGTTGTACCAGAATTTTGTTGCACGACAATCATTTTCCTCTTGAATTTTCACCCTACATTCTACATGATCTCTAATGGTAGTTGCCTTGAATGGGACTATCACCAAGTCTTCTGCTTGAAGCTCCTTGAATGTTTGGAGTAAGGCGAGCCATTGGTTTTGCTATGCTTTCACCAGCTGTTTCTCCCAACCATGAACAGAATTTTTTTTTTCGAAGATTGTTGTTTTGCTAATCCCACAAGTAACAGCAACTAAATCAGTTTAACGTTATCCATGCTTGAAGTCAAGCAGATTAACGTATTTGGCTCGGGGTTGAAACCAATTTTCCTGTAGACATTTTTCAGCCGTTTGGTAAATTTTGGATTGACCCAAATTAAGGAAGGAATCAGGTGTTCTCACAATTGTTTTAACTGATTTTCCCAGCAGATTGCCGATAGGAAGAAGCACTTTTGAGTGTTTTTGACATAATAGTAAAGGCCATATGAAGATAAGGAGTGAGCTCCGAGTCCAATTCAATTCGAGAATCAAAATGAACCGACTTGGACCAACCAGTTCAATGCCGATTCTAGGGAGAGGACTAGTTTGGTTCTCAGTTTTGCGCACCTAGAACTGGCCTAGGATTGATTCAGTCCCCGATTTCAAGGCTGGGAGCTGGTTCAACCAGTTTGGCTCTCGAGTTGAACCGATTCTAAGAGCCTCTTTTATTAAAAAAAAAAGGAAAAAGAAAAAAATTACTTTTACACCCGTTGAGAATTGAAACATGATTTTCAATATAAACAAACAACAACATGACTACTTAATTTGCACACCTTCTACCCATTGGAACACCATTGGTGTCCCATTGGGTACAAGGTTTTTGTGTACGACTAACCCCTCCTTGTAAGTGGTGCGTTAAAAAGTTAATATACATCTTACCTTACAAAAAAAAAAAAACATGGCTACTTAACCAACAAGTACTTTTGCAGATGTGGTGAAATGCTGCAACTTTGATATTTTATTATAAAATCTCGATTTTTCACCCAAGATATAAAATGGGTCTAGAACTAGGAGCTAGATCGACATCGGCCGGTTAAAAAAAATCGGCTAAGTTCGATCTCAATTTCAATCTTCAGGGTCAGTTTCTACTTATAGGCCGAGAAACGATCCATCCTAGAGCATAATCAAATTAATATAGGAAAATTAATTTGGATTGGGAAAAAAAAAGAGAGGATTAAATATGAGTCAAACCCGCAACGTGGATGTACCGTTGCGTGGTCTTCAACCGAATCTAACTAACCCCATTCGCGCCTCGCCACCGTCAACCGCCGCGGCGACGCTTCCCTCTTCCAAGCCCCGCCGCCACCGCCGACACAGCCGGAACTACCCGCCACGCCTCTCTCTCTCTCTCTCTCTCTCCGCCATGGCCGTCCTCCTCCACTCCGCCTCCCGCATCTCCACCGTCCGGTTCAATCTTCCTCCACGTTCCCCTGCTCATGTCCGCAGACGATTGCTCCCGTTCAGGTGCCTCAGCTCGAGCGTCCCATTCCCGGCCAACGACGCCAGGTATCGCCGGGAGCTTGAGGCCGCCACCGACGTTGTGGAGCAAGCTTGCCGTCTCTGTGTTGATGTACAGTTCTTGTTCTTGTTTTTGTTCTTGTTCTTGTTCTTGTTCTTGTTCTTGTTCTTGTTCTTGGGTAAATGCTTGTTGGGAATGATTCTTTTGCTTGTGTGTTGATGGTTATGTTTATTGTCAGGTGAAGAAAGCCTTGTTTTCGGGTGATGGTCAGATTCTCGAGAAGACCGACCAAACACCTGTCACTGTTGCGGACTTTGGCGTGCAAAGCTCTTGTCAGTTTGGGTAGTTTTCTTGCGTGATTGCGTGAAGCTTCGTGTTTCCTTTCGTTGCTCAATTCAATTCATGAAGTTTGTAGTATGAAAATGCTAAATGGATACCTCGTTTTCGAGCATTTAGGCTTCAATTGGTGTTGGACATTCAATTGACCCGCAAAATGAACTTGAGTGATGTTTTACGGGCAATGCCACAGTATGGCCTTGTCTGGGGTCTGTAATTTGATGTGCTTATATGTTGAAACTATTGGCGGCAAAGTCATATCAATGGAGAAGATAAAATCAGCCATTATCCTATTCAATATCTCGGGCATGTCATGCAATTTTTTTGCAAGAAGTAGTCAGACCAAACTTCAATTGTAAACTGCTATTGTTGGGATATGATATCACTTCTGAGGTTTTTTTATTGTTTCGCCAGAGCTGGGAAACTTGTTTCCTTTCATTCCTTTAGTGGCAGAAGAGGACTCTGCTTCCATACGTTCTACTGATTTGGTGGGTTATGTGGTGGATGCTGTTACTGATCAAGCGAGCTCTGAAGGTCATCCTTTGACAAAGGGTGATGTTTTAGAGGCTATTGACCGAGGAGGAAAGAACGACTTCTCTATGGGATCGCAGCCAGCCTCGTATTGGGTATGTAGATGAATTGGCTATTATTTAAAGGGTGTAAGTTAAAGGTTGGTGTGAATACGTTCCATAAAGAACAGAGCTTTTACTTGATGTTAGATTGTGTATTCTCTGAGATTGTACAGGTAGCTGTAGAATCCAACATCAACTTGAATGGCTAGGAAATGATTATATAGGGCTTGAAAAACCTTCCTCCCAGTCCACCGTTTGGTAAAATAAAAAGAGAATAGACATGCCTCTCAAAGGATTTGCTTCTGACATTGATAAGTTGCGTATCTGTCCACATTTATTACAATAAATTGCTCGACTTTAATAGCAGGGTATGGAGTGTAATATGGTCTGCGAGATGCTCTTCCATAGTAGATCTTAAAGTTACAATGATCACTGCAGGTTCTGGATCCAATAGATGGGACACGAGGATTTCTAAAAGGAAGGGAGTCCTTGTATGTGGTATGATACTCTCTGGTGGTTTTGGTTGTTTGGTTTAACGGGGAATAGCTCCAGATTGATGACTGCTTAGAATGAAATTGTTAAGTTGCTTTTGAACTGCATACCGGTATGTTAAGCATTCAAAGGTTAGTTTGATAACAAAATATTAAGTGCAGTCCAAATATAGGCTTTTACGTATACAAAAGACCAAGTCTAAATTCAAGCTGGTTGAGAAAGGATCTGGGAGGAACTTCTGTTTAAGTTGGTTTCAATGTCTGATGTATTCACAAAGACACCTGATACCATTTTGTTTGTAATGTCCCTATCACGGTTTAGGTTTATGATACTGATCCCCTATTGCCTTATTACTCCAATCAGTATATGCCCTGAACATCATATAACAGACCTGTCTCAGCCCATGAGCAGGTGATCATGGTCGCTCTTCTAGATGTAGGTAGCAGTAATGTATAGTTTAAATTTTAATCGCCCTCGTTTGGTGAAAGATACTTTACTGGCCAAAGTCCTATTACCTCACTTAATTTCACTTGCCGCATAACACATGGGACACTTGGTGCCTCAGGTCTCCTCTCTTTGACCTCTCTTCTTTTATATTGTGAAAGAATCCTTACATAACACTGTGGATGCTGATAGTCCCCTATATATATATAAATATAAAGCAGTCTAGTCCGCTGGTAATATATGTTTGATATTGGGAAACAGTAGCTTTTATTGGGGATATGCTTTGTTGCTTGTATTATTATATGGAAATATGATTTTGCAACTCTATGGAAGTTTTAACTTTCTTTTCTTGGCTGAATGGACAAATATAAACCCAGGTAGGATTGGCACTTGTAGTTGGTGGAGAAGTTGTATCAGGCGCAATGGGATGCCCTAATTGGCAGCAAGATCTATCCAATGTAACCAACGATGGGCTGCAGGAGTATGAGATCAGCAATGCGAGATCTGAGATCATCATGGTGTCTCATGTTGGCTGTGGAACATGGACCAAAAGGTTACCACCACAGCTCAGTAACACAAGTGCAAAGGAAGCCTATTGGACCAGGTGCTTTGTTGATGGGTTCTCTGCAGTTCATGAAGCACGTTTTTGCATTCCGGAGAGTCAAACATGGGAGACACTTCCCCTGTCTACTTCAGTCAAAGCAAGAATGGAAACTGATACTCCTGGAGGAGGGAAAATTGTTCTACTGCCAACATGTTGTGGAAGGTCGGTTCATCTTTTTCCTAGTCAATATCTTTTCATTTTTGTATTAATTTTAATACTCTGCCTCTGGAGTAGGTGCAAAAGCTCCCCTCGAGTTTTCATTGTTGCTCTTTGCTGTCCCAGAATGTCGGAAACTGTTGCTATCCACTCTTCTGCTTATAAGTGCTTTGCTTACAATTCCCATCATATTCTACGGAAATATTATTCAATCAGATTTTTCTTTTGATACAATAGTTATTGGCTTGGCTAGAAGGATCAAAGGCCCTTAATGATGTAACTGTTGTAATATCAATTACATTCACAAAATCATGTGATACCCAATGTTGTGAAAAATGTTATTTTTCCAAGTCGTATCTGTCAATTGACATGTGCACATCTTTTCAAATGAATAAACGGCTTATCCTTATTAACTCCATTTGTGTCACCTGATGATGCATCATGTGGTGACTATATGGCCATCATTAATGTGTGTTGTACTTCTCAGCTGGATGGAACTAATTACATATGACTTCTAAATTATGGAGAAAAAAAACAGGATTCAGTTTAAATCATCATGTATTTCCTTGATAGATATCGATTCCTTTTTCTTAAATGAAAATTCCTTTCCATATTCACAGGGTTGTTTCCCCTGGCTATTAGATTTGTCATTTTGATGGGCAAACACTTTCATAATTGTATAAATAATTGTATACAGATAGCACACGGAGTCTCTCGTAAGGCAATAAGTGTCCTACATCCTCCAATTTGAAGATAAGCCACTTCTGCCAGTTTGTTTCATGCATTTATTGTCACATTATGTGAAAGGAGATGCTTATTGTCCTTTTTTTCCTGCAAGAGCCTTTGCACTGACTTCTTTGCACAAATAGGCCATTCTCTGTCACAGTTTTCTCTTCTTTCTGTGTGGATCAGTATATACCATCAGCAATCATGATCCCTTTGGGTGGGATAGATGACTCCTTGCCGTAGAAGTAATGGGATTTTCCATTTTGGTTTCTCACAGTTTATGCAAGTATATGATGGTTGCTTCAGGAAGGGCATCAACTTATATTCTTCGAACAAGAACACAAACCTCAATCAAGGTATTATCCGAGTTTCTCCTACAAATTTCTCGTTATCCAGGCTGGTGCAAAATCAAGGGAACATGCCTAAGTTTCTTCATCAAATGTCGTTAGGCTTGGGACCATGCTGCTGGCATGATATGCGTGCATGAAGCTGGAGGAAAGGTACATATATTCGTGACTTTAGAATTTCTCTATCACTTGTGAAGTTTTTCCTTCTGCATGATTTTCATATTTCAGGATTTCTCATTACTGAATGCAGTTTGTTAGTTTGCTTTTGCGTTTGTCAAATGAGATCAGCTGGTATGTTTAGGCTCTTTTCCTAATTACTACTTCCAGAAAAATGTGAGAAGAAAGAGTGACAACAATCTGAATTATGTATGCACAATGGACAAATAGTACTAATAGAATGAATCTATTACAAATGATGTTAAGATATGGCCCAAATCAGTTGCAGAATGGGCTTTCATACATTTAGTGATTCCTCAACCAATCCAGCTAAAAGTTTAACTTTTGATTGACCAAAAAACAAAAGTTTAAGTTTGGGTTGGTTGTTATAACATTATATCAAAGTCATGTTCTCATTGCCCCATTTAATTGTGTATTTCTCCCATATATTCTTGTTCATGGTATTTAGCTCATTTATGTTCTTTACATGGCTTAATTCAAATTTACTTATTACTTGCATTCCAGGTTTACGATGGCTTTATAGATAGTCTTTTTCACTTGATAGTTTTAGTTATTGGGTTGTATTTCCTAACACATTCCTACCAATTGAAGCTACTTTTTTGGTTGATTCAGTATTTCATTTATGAATTTCATCTGCACAATATGAACAGCTTCTGGATCTGCAATGTTTGCAATTTGCCACGCATCTTTTTCCTTGTATATTTTGAAGTTCGTTAAATAACTCTTTTGTACAAACCAAGGAACCCAATATACTTTTTGTCAATTCGTCCTGTCTCTCAAATATCAGATTGATTTTGCTAACCCCTTATTTCTATCTGTTACATTAGCTCTGATACTTGACTTGCTTACCAAGAAAGGACACCTTGTCTACTTTATGAGAAAATTCAGCTCAGATAACGTGTATCGTAGAAGCATAATCTTTTTAGTGTGCTATTAAAAGTTTAGGTTTACGTGTTACATGACTAACTGGCCACCATCAATTAGGTGACCGATTGGGAAGGAAGTCAAATTCATCTGGCAGCAGATGCCGCTGAACGGAGAATCATATTTGCTAGAGGTGGTGTTATTGTGTCTAATGGGAACCTGCATGACAAGATTTTGGGCATTACTACTTCTGGTTCCTCATCTATTTTAGAGGAAGCTCAAGATTTGAGTGCGTCCACCCTCTCTCTCTCTCTCTCTCTCTCTCTCTCTCTCTCTCTCTCTCTCTCTGTGTTCGCCCGCACAAGTGTGGGGCATTTGGTTAGCTCACCTTTTTAAATTCAATCAGAGGATTTCACAATTACAAGTATGTGATGGGTTATCCTGCATATTATGGTAGCCAGAGACTTTTCTATTAGTTCGGTATTCCAGCTCAATGATATCTCCACCAGTAAGTAGACAATTAATCAGCAGTAATTGCTCTCATTGACTGACATTTTCTTGTGGTTCTTGCTACGCAGTAAAAAAGAGTTAAAACCACGCATGTATTCTATTGAATGTAATACATAAGCTTCTTGGTGAAAGCTGGGATTGAAGCTCTAAGCAAGTGCTCTTTTGAGGTCCCTTATCTTCAGAAAATCTTCTGGTGAGTGTCTGTTTCCTGCAGATTTTGGACATGTTTTAGATTGTTTATATCTTGTGATTCCGGCATAATGTTGATGCCTTCTAACTTCAATACCGTTTCTATATAGTGACCGCTGATCTATTTTGTTTTCCAGAATGTCTGCAGAAAAGAGACTGCACAAAGGCTTTCAAGGAAGTCCAAAGAACCATCGATGCGATAACTCAAGAAGTCGCAGTTACATGCATTAATTACAAACTGTTTTGATCAACCTTCAGTCCCAGTGACACACTGAGCATGAAGGTTGATGAAATTAGGGTACATAGAGTCCAGTGCATATTAGGACAATTCTTTAGTCTAGAGTTCATGAAAAGTCAACTATCTGTGCTTTAGTGAAAATCATGTAGAGAAACAGAAACTCTGCAGTAATTCCTCTGTCCTAAAACTCTGTTATACCAGAAAGTTGTTGCACAATAATCATTTTCCTCTTGAATTTTTTACTCTACATTCTACATGATCTCTAATAGTTTTTGCCTCGAATGTGACTACCATCAAGTCATTTACTTGAGGCTCCTTGAATGGTGGAGTAAGGAGAGCCTTTGGTTTTGCTGTACTTTTACCATCTGTTTCTCCCAACCATGAACAGAAAATTCTTTTTTTTTTTTCGAGTAATGTTGTTTTGCTAATCCCACAATTAACAGCAACTAAATCAGTTCAACGTTATCCACACTTGAAGTTGAGCAGACTAACGTTTTTGACTCTGGGTCGAAACCAATTTTCCTGTCGGCATTTTGTCAGCCGTTTGGTGAATTTGGATTGACCCAAATTAAGGAAGAAATCAGGTGTTCTGACAATTATTTACAGCAAATCAATTTGAAATTAGAATCTCCTCGCATCTCTCCTAATCTCATGGTGATGGTGAAACACAAAATGTGAACATGGACAGGAGGTTGAGGAAGCAGCCAAGATGATCAGCATCGGTAAAGATGTTAGTAGCTCGGTCGCGAGAAGTGAGCAGCACGGGATTGCGGTCGAGTTTAAATTGGGTTCTCGTCCTTAGCTGAGTAGCAACTTATATGAGTTTCGAATTAGACGAGTTTGAGGTCCCGTTTACAAAAGCGGTATAGGATTTGGGACGGGTGACCTGAACACCCGACCCGAGAAGTCATTTATGAAACTACCGTTAAGTCTTTCGAAAGCCTCAGGGTTTACTTAGGTAATTATGTTAGTCTACTACACATTTCATTTTGATCTAACATTTTTCCACTGATAAGTAACATATAACGTGCGCATTGTTGGCGCCGTTTCCTAATAGCTCAAAATGTTAATCTAAAACGATTTGTCAAAAATGGTATCAGATGCATGTCCTCCCGATTTCAAGTCCTGGCACCGCCTCTCATCTTTCTCTAACCTGCCATTCTTGTTAATTAGTGTTCCTGCTTTCCTGTCTATGGTTGTTTGTTTGATCTGGTCACGTCACATCCCGTGTTGAGCATGCGAGGATCGGCTTACATGCGAGGAGATTGCTAACTAAAAAGCTACATACATTGTTGGCCTGTTTCTTGATAACTTAAGATTGTTGGGTATTTAGTGTTAGATAATCTATTTATTGAAAATTCTATGGCGAGTTTCAAGTAGGTTGAGGGCATCCAATGGATGCTAGACTATTTAAGTGAGTTGAGTATGAGATTTCAAGTCGAAACTCCTGACCGCTTTGAGACGAGTTTAGACAACCGGGATGGGTTAGTCTCAGGGGTTATCATCCCAAACCCGTCTCGCTTCCATCGAATTAGATATTGTAAAAGAAAATAACTGGTCTATGCTATCCGTTAGTCAATACACTTTGTTACATTGTTGAGAAGCTACACCACCTAAACAAAGGGTAATATTCTCAGAAGGGAATAGAAGTTTCCCAGATAACTCTCCTTTGCATTAATTTATACATCTTACCAAAGAACCATTCTTTCTGGGTATTCTACATCATCAAGGTTTTATATAGGTGCTAATGCAAAACATCATTATAATATGCACAATGCTTTGATCATTGGTTACCATACGTGCGTAGCCCTCATGCGCACTCATACTTTTATACGTATACATACCACTTTAAAATACATGCATGAGTTGCTTGGATATTTTTGAATAATACCAAGATGGATCGTCATCCACACACACCCATTTGGGTATCCAAATCTTGCCCTAGTCACCAAATTGGGTAAGATCTGCTGAACAAATGGGATCGAGAAACCAAAGAAAAGCCACATGAAACACTTTTCAACGTTTGTTGGAGCCATCGAGCACCACGAGGATGACAAAAATATAAAGATAATCCTCCACCTGATGTGTGAACATCGATTGGTCAACTCTAACACGTATGCAGCTTCTTTGGGCAAACCCATGCGCAAGCAAAACCCTAGATTTTGGACAAGTAATTACCCCATTGAGCACTGGGTTGCAGCTTTCTTGATTTAAGAATCAATTGCCATTGTTAGTGTGCATGATTGGCTCTTGGGTTGAGTGGTAAATGATATAAAAGTCGTGGGGGTGCCCCCATGACATCAAGCATGGAGACAAAAGGCCAAGGATTGCGGTCATGTCTCTGTTTGTTTGGATATAATAGAGTTTTCGCTAGAAACATCATATCAAGCACATAACATCTTTGAAAAAAAATAATTAAAACTACTCTTCAAAAGCATTGTTAATCACATGACATGGAGAGTAATTACGTTACTGGTGATAATCATATGTACAAGTATAATGAGCTTAATGATACGTAGACACACAGTACAATGATTCAAACCCTGTGGGCTCAATTATTTCGGCATGCAAACAAACTACTTTGAAAAGGTGCAATCTGGAATAAACTGGCCACGACCAAACCTTAATCCAAATGCAAGACCCACTACCAGCAATCAGCCAGACAAGTGGCAATCTGATATCAATCCAAAACCTGGTCCCTATGAGCAAGCAACAAGGAATTTAACAATACCTTTTGCAATGTGTTCGTCTAGATAGTGTGCACCATTTTTCAAATGCATGTCTCGAAATTAGAAATCTTTCTCGTAAAGTGGCTCCAAAATGTTGTTGGCTCGATTAGGGTTCCAAGTCTTTAAATATCGATAGTTACTTTGGACTGCAAACTTAGTGTGTAAATTAGTGAATAGATAAACTAGTAAAGTGACCCTGCAAGTAGGAAAACCTCGGACGCAACACCTAGAAAGTGACAATCATATGTGCTATACAAGTTGCCTAAGTATGATAAAAAAAAAAGCTAAGAGAACATCAAATAGGAGTCCTTGGTGGTTACATAGTATAATGTTTGACCCCAATATATGCTGTTCGTAGGTAGTTTCATCCAATGACTAGGGTTTCACATGAACTATTTATTTGACACAGCGAAGCCAGAACAAATCATGTTTTGATTTGGTGGGATATGCATGGATTTCAAAGTTGTCGATTAGCGGGACATCATAGGCTTCACAGCCTAGCAATTATTAACATATGTCCCAAGATTATTGCTATGTAAAACCATTGGAAGATGATAACTTAAAGATTGTTAAACAGAATGTATTTACGTGTCTTGCATGTGTGATATTTGTTATATTTGCATGATCTACCATAACTCAAGAATTTACAATCAATTGCTTCTCAATGTGTACTACCCCATTTAATGAAATCACCAACACTAATGCCCACATGATTGACAAGTGTCGGGGCATGGAAGTTGCTAGATGTTTTTTAACCTACTATTATGATCCTATCATAACATATGCTTTAACAAATCCTTATCGAAGAAAAGAAAAAAGTAAAAAAATTAGAAATAGTACCACCAGAAATTTCAAACCAGTAACACAATTACAGGAAATTTATTTATGTGTTTCTAAAAATCCTAAATTGGTATGCCTCTGACAAATCTACCATTCGTTAGTTTCCATCCAGTGCCCTTGTTAAATTGCTAGTGGATTACATGTGGCAAGCAACTCGTCCGACACGGATACAACGTAGAAATTCAGCATAAATGGCTCCTAGAAACAACGTCATTTTAGAAAATGACTTCCAAGTTCCGATGGATCCTAGTCCTATGAGTAAGAGAGAGTCGCGAAACTTCGGCCATCTTGAGGTGAGCACTCAAACGTCGACAAGTGTATCTCTTCGCAAGCTCTGCCATAGAAAACGTCCACATGATCGACAAGTGCCCCGACATGGAAGTTGCTAGACTTTTTCAAACCTATTACACTATGATACAATCATAACATATGCTCTAACACATCATTATCAATTAACTAAAGAAACTCTGCATGCATTACACATATGCAGGCTGAATAAACGCAGGAGTCGCTCCCAAGTAATCTCCTCAATTGTGGATAACAACAACCGCAGACTTTTCTCACGTCGACAAGGCGGGAAAAGTTGATTCCTGTTCTTTGTGGAACACAAGTTTAGTTTATTAACGTACGTCACATGAATTTGGACGTGGCAGGCTTCGATAGGGACAATACTGCTGGCGATTTTTGTTTATTATGTGGTGCTCCTCAGATTTGGAAACCATGGGGTCTAGCTGGCCGACACGTAGTTGCTCAAAACTTTGCAAATCTAGATTAATTTAATGATTATCATGGCTGGAAACCAGATAAAGAGAGGGGGTCGGTCCGTACATGTTAAATAATCATGCATGCAGATTATTTTATAGGTTCGTGTCATAATCCCGTTCCCCATGCTTATTTAATAAATTGTTATCGACGTGTACTCTCAAAATACTTATTAAAATTTAAATTGAAGAATTTTGTTGTTTAAAAACATCGTCTATTAATTAATAAGTGTCACAAAAATACTCGTTAATAAGACCTAAAAGGAAATTTTAAAATTTTCAGAACACCAGTTCCCCGTCACATAAAAGTTGGGATCCAAAAAATTAAAAAATTCAGAAAGCTGAATAACAAAACCTTAAAATATATTCTTTTCAATAAAAGGGTGCTCCAACATTCATGATTTGGATTAAATAAACAGATTAGTAGGTACGATTATTTTCCTTATGATGTCTGGAATTTTATAATGCTTTTTCCTTTTCTTCTTAATATATTATGAAAAGAGGAATATGCTATCGATAAAATTTGTTAGTGCTTATCTTCAAGTCAATTTGTGACGAGATCCTTACATAGTTGGAGATAAGATAACCCTTTATTTCTTTTAATGGTAAGCAATAATACTCTATGGAGGTACATATACATCATAAAAGGAAATCAACATATAAAAAGCTAATAAAGAAAAATGGGAGGTCAATCCGATTTTGTCTTTCGGCCATAATTTTCGACATTGTCCACTGTCCATCAAGAACAAAACATCAAGAGCACTATGTTCTTTCGCTGCAAAGTCGTATGATTCTGACTTTGCAAAAGGCACCATTTTCAAAAGAAAATTTTTCTTCAAAAAGCGGAGGAACCCACAAAGATTCCTTTGAAAAATTTTATTTCATTTCCAAGTTTTTGACCAGAGCATATCCAAAAAAAAACCCAAAAAAGAAAATCAATGCCGAAATAAATTAAATCTGTGCTTTTTCATAAATAAATAACACAATCCTCATAATAAATGTTCCTATATTTCGGCAAACACAACCATGTCAATTATTGCCACCATCTATTAAATGCTCATCCATACGCCCCATGCCTATACTTTTCCTCCCAAGTTAAATTTGACCAACTTTTCTAGGGAAAAAAATGAAAGGAAATCGGACCAACCAGCTAGGGCATCCGTACAAACAATGTGAATTGTCGATTTCGCCCTCGCGGACTCACGGTTGCACGGGTTCCTTCCCTTAAGAACTACATTGAATATTTTTATGTAGTTCAGAGACTACATTGAATATCTACCAAAAATCTAGGGATTACGTTGAATAAATTAGAAGTTTTGGGACTACATTGAACATTTGATTAAAGTTCAAGAATTACATTGAACAAATTAAAAGTTCATGGACCCCATTGCACATTAGGCCAAAGTTTAGAGACTGTTTGTGTTATTTTCTCATAAGGGATTGATGTGATCTTTGCGTCGCGAGCACGATATAACGGAGCTCGCCAGCTCAAGCTATATGACTTGAAGCATGAGCCAAGAAGCCATGCATATTAATAAATGAAAAATAAATAGATAATTATATGGCAAAAGCGATGGAGGCTTTTTGGGGGAAGTCTCATGAAAAGATGGTACGTGGCGGCCTCACGTTAGTGACAGCTAATCATAATGTGAATCCCCAGAAAAAAAAAAAGCAAAGAAGAAGGTGGCACTTCCCGCTTGAAATTGATGGATTTATTTGACGTAGAGATTACAAGAGATCTTGTGATGTGTAGAGAAAGAGAGGAAAGAAGATATGAATTGTCTTTTTAACCATACTCAACATGAGAAATTTGTCCTCTTGCTTCATTTTTTGTTTTTGTTGACATTCATTCAACCGATGACAAATTAATTTCTCGAAAAGATGGTTACTGTATTCCGTACTATGGATATTTTGAAATTAATTTGTCTTTAAACAAGCGAAATCCTGTTACTGATAGATGAAGTAAAGTCGACTTTTTCATGACTTATGTTGATTGTATATGTTGACATCGCAATGATCACAATATCCACATTTTTGTCGCTAAAAGTTGTGAATAATGACTAGGGCAAACATCATATGGTAAGTATCATCGAGTTGAACACAACGCAACTTTTTTCCCTTCCTCGTTGCGTGGGGGGAGGGGTGCTTCGCACTTTGGCCCTAAAGAAGGGTTACACGTCGCCTCTATGATCAACGGCGGACGGCACCAAACCCTTTTGACTCTCCCTCTCTCTCTCTCTCTCTCTCTCTCTCTCTCTAAACTTCCTATTTATATCTTGACTTCCCCATACCCTACAACAATCACACACCATCTTCAAATCTCTCTTTCTCTCCCTCTGTCAAAGTGATAATTTGTACGTACACAGTTCTGCCAAGTTACATTATAGCGCAGCTGATAAGCTAGAGGACAAGCGGAGAGAATGGGGAGAGCACCATGTTGCGACAAGAGCGGGTTGAAGAGAGGGCCATGGACCCCAGAGGAAGATCAGAAGCTCCTCGACTACATTCACCAGCACGGCTACGGAAATTGGAGGACTCTCCCCAAGAATGCAGGTACTTCATGTCTATTCACTTACATATCTCTTCTTTGTATCTTCCTTTCGTTGTTTGGCTACTTTTGTATGTTGTGAAGGGAATTACGACGAGTGGTGTTATTGGGGTTCTTGATTTTTTTCTTGCTCTAGGGTTGCAAAGGTGCGGGAAGAGCTGTCGCCTGCGGTGGACAAACTATCTAAGGCCGGACATCAAGAGAGGGAGGTTCTCTTTTGAAGAGGAGGAGACCATCATTCAACTCCATGGCATTTTGGGGAACAAGTATGTCCAACTTCTCTTTGCTTTTTGTAATTTGAATTGAGTCGAACATTTAATTGATTTTGCATCTCACTCGAGTGGTGGAATGAGAACTTATGTCTATCCATGTTCCATTTAATATGCAGGTGGTCTGCGATAGCGGCTCGTTTGCCTGGACGAACGGATAACGAGATCAAGAACTATTGGAACACCCACGTCAGGAAAAGGCTGCTCCGGATGGGAATCGATCCGGTGACGCACGCCCCTCGCCTCGATCTCCTCGACTTCTCTTCCATCGTTAACCCTTGTCTCTTCAGTAACAGTGCGTCGGCTCAAGTGAACTTCTCGAGACTGCTCGGGGTCGACCCTCCGATCAATCCCGAACTCTTGAGGCTCGCGACGTCTCTCCTGTCGTCCCAACATCAAAACTCGAACCCGACTCCTCAAAATTTCGAAGAAAGCCAGCTAACAAACCAACAATTTCAAGAAATCCCTGGTTTTACTGCGGTGGCCTCCACCTTTGTTCCATTTCCTAATGAAGCGCCAGTATCACAACCCAAATTAGTAGATGAATTTCCTTCAAATCTCACAGATTTCAGCTCTTCGAGTAATTCTCAGATAAGCGACTTGGCTTCAAGTTTGACAGAAGATTATGTTCCATTCCCAACTTACGACTACGACTACCGCAGCTCAGACCAATCGTTAATCGACCATTCATCGACCAACTCCACCTTCAATTCTCATGATAGCTACCAAAGTTTCTGCTCGTCCAGCCCGACATATATCACTAGCAGCACAGAGGACGAGCGGGAAATTAGCTACTGCAGCAACATGTTGAAATTCGATTTGCCAGATCTTTTGGATGTGAATGAATTCATGTGATGTCAAGAACCAAGATGGTGAAGAAGAGTTTGCCACGATGGTCCTGGATTTGACGTTCTCGATAGGTGTAGAAGCGATAAAGCTTCTCTTTTTACTTCCTTTTGTTTAGTAATCTCAACATTGATGTACTTGACTGTTCCTTCAAGTTTGCATAGTTAAGCTTACGCTATGAGGAAGGCAAGATCGTCCTGATTTCCTCTTTTCTCTTACTTTTATGAGTTTTTTAGTGTGGGTGTGTTTCCATTATTGCTATCTAATCTTCTATTCTTTTCTCCTCTTAGTGTATCCTGTCATCTTGACATTTGAAAGCACTCCTCCATAGTCCATACGATAGAAACCTCTCTTGCCAAACATCATTAAAAATCTCCCAACTTTTAACCGACGTTGCTTCCGAACGATAAGAAAAGATTGGTCAAGATATCCACCAATCATCAGTCACCCCAGATATTAAAAACCGACTATGCTATTGAGAGATAGCACACGTGAAAATGGCTTATTCACAGAGATACATCATCGACCTTGATTTTAACAAATGAACCAATTATCAGAAATTGCGGAACTTTCCCGCAAAGCATAGAAATCAACATCAGTGGATGGACCTATTTGGTTCATCTAGAAAATTATACTTATCGAGTTTCGTGTTCTAAAGATTAGATATATTCAGTATTTGCAAAGAAAAAAATTAAACATAAGTTCATTTTAGTTCGGGTTAATACTACGAAAAATCCTAAACTGGTACATCAGTGACAAATTTAACCCGAACTAATTTTTTTACCACAAAAAACTCTAAATTAGTACACTTGTAACAAATTTACCTCAAAATAATTGTTTGGCCACAAAAAAATCATAAACCGGTACACTTATGACAAATTTACCCTCCGTTAAGTTAGATTAATACCACAAAAAATCACAAATTTGTAAACATGTAACAAACAGATGAGTAAAAAGCCCAAAACTAATATACCGACCAACTGTCACGTGTAATGAAATTCAGCAATTTGACTGTAAAATTTAACAGAAACTAACGGAGGGTAAATTTGTTATAGGTATACTAGTTTAGAGTTTTTGGTGATCAAAAAATTAGTTTTAAGTAAAATTATCATAGATGTACCAGTTTAAGGTTTTTTGTAGTATTAAATCTCATAGTTATTGGTACATAGCATCAAAATAAATTTAGTATCTGAACTATTATCAAAACAGTAGCTATTTGCTATCTAGGAGGTGGGTTCTTCTATCTGAACATCGTATCTTACAGTTTGCAATCAAAAGCCAAGTAGAGAAAAACCATCCTATCCACTGAAGCGTAAAGCCTACATCCCCGGATTCCGGCAGCGACCTCGAGCCTCCGGCGACGGTGGCCGGAGCTGGTTAGGAGCGGCGGGGACACCTGTCCCCACGCCACCTGTATAGGGAACTGTCAACTTCGCGTAAAAAGGATAGCCAAAGCAATTATTTCTCCTGCATGGGAGTTCCATTAATGGAGTTTTGACAAAACGCAGGCAGGCGCATACGTGTCGAGGCGATACCCACGGCGGCCCCACCGGCGGGGAAAGGCCACAAGCTTTATTTGAAAACCATGGCATGGTTCTTGCGGGAAGCTCGTGTCGTCTTCATCAATCCACCATTAATGGCGCCCCGAGTCAAACCCAAGAGAGAGAGATGCGCAGAGGTGACGTCACCCTCTGCGTACACGTGTACTGCGCTGCGCTCGCGAGTGGGGCCTGGTATGGTATGGAGAGCGGGAGACCTGTTGGCCCGGTAGCGTGCGCGTTCTTCCTGGTTTTCGCGGACGCTGCTGCTGTGAGAAGAAAGCGATGATCGGCTGTGATCAGTTCATGATTACCATCAATCATTGCAGATATCAGAAACTGTTGATTGAAAGTGATATGGGTGATGGGGCCCCAAGAGTCCCATAGTCCTTTCGATAACTAAAACGTGGTAGATTAATTTGGATCGATAATGATAATGGTATCGGAGATTTTTATGAATTCAACTCGCGTCATCAATACTCAGGGATCGTGTTTTATTTGTCGGAAATACGATAAGTAGGCCCTCTTTAAAGGTGATCCATATTATTCACTGTTTCATATCGTTTTAGATTTGATTTGATGTGATTAGACGATTTGATTTCATTATCAGCAGCGACCCGTGATAAGAAGGCTCTTTAGATATTATACAAAGCATTTGGACGATTGCCTCTTCTACACCTGATCTAGCATTTGAAAATATCTCGACTACTGAGAAAGTATACTTTGAATAGGTATTTTGCAAAGCGAGATTGATCAAAGCGGTCGATCTCATTCTTTGAATAAGTCGGGGAAATTCTTGGTATGTAAGCTGATCGAAGCATTTTGGAGAGCACTCACCAGTCGAAGTATAAAACCATACACGAAACAAGTCTAAAGGTAAATCTGGAAGTTCAACTATGCTTTATTTTTTTACTGAATTCCTTGTTGATTGTTCGTAGGGACTAGGTTTTGGACTAATATTAGATTGCCACGTGTCTAGCTGATTGACTGAAGTGGTTCTTGCATTTGGATTCAGGCCTGGTTGTGGCCAATTTATTCCAGATTGCACCTTTTCAAAGAAATTTGTTTGCATTCTGAATAATTGAGTCCACTGGGATTGTATTATTGTACTGTGTGTCTATGTATCATAAGATCATTATACTTTACATGTCATGTGATTAACTATGCTTATAAAAAGTAATTTTAAGTAATTTTCCAATGTTAATATGTGCTTGATATGAATTCTAGTGAAGTCTTTATTACGATCAACAAATCCTAACTATTTAAGGGTTGATCTGTCTCGAATGTATACTTCTCAAAATGGATCATAAACCCATTTCTATGACACTCTCTTCACTCTCTCTCAACATCACTTGATCTCGTGCTCGCTCGTTCCTCGTTCTCACCTCAGTTTGAATATTAGTTTTCCTACATTTGATTAAATATGGAAGTGTTTTAGTATTATGGATCGGAATCGGGTACAAGTTAGGTATGAGTTAGGTCGGATATGGTCACTAAATTGTATTGCCTAGAAGTATATCAAAACGGGTTAAATGAGTCAGTTTAACTTGGACAATTTTTTACCCGACCCGATCCACTAGCTCGACGGATCCACTCAAATGTCAAAGAGTGGCCCAAAATAATAAAAAAGATGCTAAACTCTCCTACTCGAGGGATGCAAGTAATCCATGTTACCCGTTCTACAGGTCAATCCCTTCGTGCACGTAATCCATACATCATTTATACGTCAACCCAATCCTCTCTCTCTCTCTATCTCAGAGCTGAATTGTGGGCGTAGAAAGACGAAGACTTTATGGTCTCGACGTGTCGAAAAAATCGAAGATGAGCTCAAGTTATGAACACTACGGCCACGAGCCGACCACAGCTTGAAAAATCGAAAGCCTCTCGCTTTCTGCCTCGACCGCCCAAAGAAAAAGCACTCTGAAATTCTTCCATTATTTTCGCATTCTCCGTTTTGACTCTTCTCCAAACTCAAAGGGGATTTCAACTCCTCAAAGTTGTTCTTCTCTCGGACTCTCCCTTTCCATGCTTCCTTTTGTTCCCTTTGCTGCTTTCCCTCCTTCACGATTCAACTCGCTATTTGACATTTTTACGTAGTTTTTTGTCTGTTCAAAGATAGAATGATAAATTTAAGGGTCGTTGTGATAATATTTTTTTTAGGGATAAGTGCACTCGAAGTTCTAAAAAAAATTATCACGAAAGTGCAATGGAATCCTAATTATGAAAGTTTTAGGACTTGATTGGACCAATTTGACAAGTTTTAGGACTTGATTGAACTTTTTAAAACTTTTAGAACTTCATTGCATTTTCGTGACAAGTTCTAGGACTTAAGTGCAATTTTTAAAAGTTTTAGGACTCAATTGCACTTTTATGATAAGCTTTAGGATTTTCCACATATTCCTTTTTGTTATTACGTAGTGTGTGACTCTTTGAGTGTTGATCCGATTGATTTTAAGTGGAAGCTTAATCAGATTAGGGAATTGATTGCCTTTTTGTCTCTTTTTGTTGCACTGGAAGGAACAACATTTGTTTATTTCTTGGGGGGATGTGTGGGGGCAAGAGTCCAATAGTCCAAAGTTTAGTCAGTCCCACCTAGGACTTTTCTTTTTTTGTTGTAGGTAAAATAAAAGGGACACGAGCACACTAGAAGCCTTAAAATTTATATACGAAGGTAATGAAGTTTTGAAACTTCCAAATCGTGTGAGCAAATATTAAAACTTGTCAACAGAGTGTAATAAAGTATTTCCATTAGCTCGTCTACTTTAGGAAAATTGTCTAAAAAGTCATGAACCTGTTATACGGCATTAATTCAGTACTTAACATTTTAATTGTGCAAATTAATTCTAAACGTTTTAAACAATTTGCCAATATAATCCTTCGGGCCGATTTTGGGCAAAAACCGCTGAAGTGGATGACAGCCATCTTACGTGGCATAGCCAGTGCTAACGTGGATAATTTTCACAATTTTTTTTTCAATTTTTTTTTGAATTTATTGAATTTTTAATAATTTTCATTAATTTTTATTTTGTTATTTTTTCGTTTCTTTTTTTTTTTTTAACTATCACCGGCCGAGGCTCAACAACCCCCACCGGCCGCTCGACAACCTCCGTCGGCCACTCAACGAGAGCCTACTAGCCCTTGCCAACAGTGAGCGAGGGCCGTGAAGCCCTTGGGACCGCCAACCCTTAACAATAAAAAAAGAAAATAGATAAACAAATAATTTTAAAAATTGAACAAAATAAAAATATTTGCAAAAACTGCCACGTCAACACCGACCATGCCACGTAGGACGGTAGGCATCCACATCGATGACTTCTATCCAAAATTGGCTGAAAGGATTATATTAGAAAATCGTCAAAAGATTTAGGACTAAATTGGCACAATTGAAAGGTTTAGGACTGAATTGACCGTTGTACAATATATTTAAGACTTTTTGGACAATTGTCACTCTGTTTTAAGTGATGGAAAAATCTAATGTCAACCTAATCAACAAATTGCTCTTGAGTTCCAACCTCATTTCAGTCTCCTTTGAACCACCACGATCATGCCGGCGCAACTATCCGCCCATGAGTCACAACCACATTCTTGCACCGGAGACACCGTTCAGGGCGGAGGAGTATAGTGCAAAGAGGTTGGTTTAGCCCTTTAGACCAGGCGACGGTGGTGGTGGTCGTGCATGAGAGTTAGTGTTGTTTTTTTTTACATAATAGTCTATCTACCTAAAAACTTATTGTTTGAAGAAAG